ACTTTGGCAATTTAAAAAAATTTTGGACATGCTCTAAACTTGTTTCATATGCTTGGATTCGCTTGTAGAGGTAATTCGAAGAACTTATACTTTACTAGACTTTACTACTGCATTAATGTTACTTAAGCATATTAACGGTATTTATAACAATTATTTTAAGTATCACAGTCTGTATCAGCGTTGAGAAAAGTCAAAGTAAGCAATGCTTTCTTGATTATTTTCTAGTTATGGGTATATTAATTAAGTTGCCTTATCATAAAATTGATCCCTCTTATTAGTTTGGCCATAAGAGATCTTTCTTTATGCACTCAACAGCTACCGGATAGATATACATCCACTCCAAGATTTACATTTATGTGTTTTCTGTTATTAGTTTATCTCTTATTTTGCGATAGATTATTGACTTAGAGCTCAGAATTCTATCACTTCGGAATGTTCTTTCTGCCGTTGGACAGCATAAATACAATAGCTCTTCAAAAGACTTTCATACATGGGATAAACAAATTACTTTACTAAGATAGAACGAGTAATAAATCTTATATGAAGATAGACTTACACAAATATTTTTTAAAACATATTTTCCACATGTTACAGCTGGCTTGTCTTGAAAGACACTTTTTTGGTTTATATGGAGCCTCAAAAACGCAAGCCATATCCTGAAGAAATGGAAACCCTACTTCAGCGATTTGCTTTGGACGACTCCACCTCTGCCGTTGATCACACTTCATTCGAGCAGGAAATTCAATCGATAAATGGTAGTCAAATCAGGTCAGATTTTGATAACCTACACGCTTCTTCGGCCTGTATTGAGTTGCTAAATACGCCACCGCCGCGTTCAACCACATTGAGTACTCTTATCACTCAGGCAACCAATCTTGATGAGGAAGGAAAGGAACAAGATAAATATGATTTTCCTGGTTCCCCTGAGAAGGATATATTTCAGCAGACAGCAGAGGTTTATAAAAGTTGTAGTGACAATGGTATCGTTAATAAAATGGGAGAGGGTCACGATAACACTGAATTCACGTCACTCACTTTGTCAGATACGATGGATACGATAGCCTTTAGTCAACAGCTCGTTTCAAGCCGTCAGCCCGGTTTTTCTGTAAAGGAGGTTGGAGATGAAAAGGAATCTCAAGGTGAGGAAGTTTCGCTTGATATTAAATCATGATTTTATTAACTACAAGCTTATTTTAGTCTACTAGCTTCTTGAGAAAAAATATTTCCATTTACATCTTTTTTATATTTTTGCACTACTTATCGTGGTAGAAGTTTCAGATTCTAAATAACCTTTAGTCTCTATCACTTCAATGGTTACTTTAGACCGATTGTCGACTTCTATCGCCAAATATGCATTCGAGATACTTCCAGAGACCTAAAATTAAGTTTGTGACAGGCTTTTGTTACTCATTATGATCTTACCTTATCCTCTTTCACCATAATATTATTGAAGTTTGCTATATTTTGCGAATTATGAAGCTGTTTTATTCACATAGGAAAAAGGTATAATATATTAACGTTATAAGTTTTAAGCCAATCTTAGTTTACATTTTGGAATTTGACCAATACTTTTTGGGATGCAGTGCTAAATGAAATTTTCTAATCATTCCACATTCTGCTTCCTCTAATCGCATTTCCATACTTGCTACTTTTTATGACAACTTGCTTGAACCTATTTCGTATGTCCGATATTTCCAGCATTTCATGGTTGATAATCCCCTATCTGGAGAAGTGAAATATGGCTTTTTCGAGTCAGTATACTCAAATAGTATGAGGCTGTCTATCACGTTGTGAGGCTGTTTATGACATCATTTTTACCCTATTTATGCCACTGAAAGAGCCTAGTTTTAATGAATTTCTTTTAAGTTGCTCGTAGACTTTCATCTTCGGGTGCACGCAGTTGTTTTTATTAAAAGATTTATTTTATAGGATCCGTTAAGATACGTATGATAGAATTTATTGGTAGACCTCACTAGGAACTAAGGGATGATTGATAGGCTTTGATTTACAAGTATGAGCAAATAGTTATTAAGATCATTGCAGGTTTTGCACGCCATCCTTTTGTCGTGATTAATTTCTTAAATTTTTTCTAAAATATGAAAGCCATCGAGAATACAACCTGCTTTTAACGCAAACCAAAAAGAATTTGCTTGAATTGCTTCTTGCCTTGGCGATGTCTGCCATTCGACAGACAAAATGGCAAAAAATCAAGTATTTTTGCATTTTTGATTAGGGCATAACGGGAATCTACGCTAATGTGTCCCTCCCTCTGGCAGGAGTCTGATCTTTATGGACTAAACTCAGACAAATATTTTGTTCTCAGGATACTACTTTAACACTCATAGTTAGGCATAAAAAGAGTAGGATAATCATATCAAATTACTGTCTCCATAAATTATAAAGAACTTTATTACTGTTTACTGGAGCTCCTATAGTCGCGAAATAATTTACGTAGCATCGTATATATTATTCCATCATGTCAAGAAGTGACATGGACCATAGCAAAGTTGCCAATGGGTTGGAAAACGTCTGTTTTATTCTACAAGCCATACTTTTCATAAAACCTAATATAGCTGGTCTTGTTTGGCCTATGCTATAATTTGTTTGCTTCTAAACCTACAAATTCAGGGCTAGAATACGACCAAGTTGCTGTTGTGGCTTGGGCTTGGTGTATTGCAGTCAAAACTAGTTG